GTGCCTCCGCGTGCGTGGCTGGGTGAGCGGCGTCTATGATCCGTTGCGCTCCATCGTCGCTGGCAGCGCGCGCGGCGGGAAGCTCGCGAAGGTTGATTTTGGCCCCGTCCTCGCCAAGGCCCACCTCAACTACGTGTACGCGGTCCTGGGCCTTCGTTGACCTCGCAGTCGCCAGGCCCTAGGGCGGGTCCAAGCAGGTCGCCGAGGACTTGACGGGGGTGGGCACCATCGTCTGCAAGGGCATGGCGGCGGCGGAACTCAAGGTCTCTCCCGAGGCGGTGGTTCTCGTGTCCATCTCAGCGGTGGCGCTGGCGGTCCATTGGGGCCTCGAGGCCGAGGGGTGCACCGTCGAGGTCGCCAACTCATTTGCCGACCTGTGCATCGACGCGGCAGCGGCAAGGGGGGGTGGCCACGAAGGCCTACGAGCGCGCGGGAAAGGCGGCGCGCAGGGCCGACCGCATCGCCACCCAGGTGCGCAATCGCGCCTTCCTCGCCAAGATCGCGAGGGCCCTCTGGGCAACGGGCTCCAGACCGCAGGGCACCTGCGGGCGCCGGATCGCGGGCCTCGCCCCGAGAGCAGCCACCGACCAGCGGCGACAGACTCTGCGGGCGATAGCGGTGAAGGTCCCAGGCAGGTGCCTAGCCGCGGCGCTCGTCACTGTCCTCGGCGCGAAGGGCCCTGTCGTCGAGCTCCGCAAGCAGACCGTCGAGGAGTGGCCCAATTTCTGGATCGCCAACCCTGCGCGCCACGAGCGGAGCGTCCGGACGTGCAGGCTGGCCCACCAGAAGACCATCAGCTACGGCAGCCATATGTGGCGTGAGGTTGTGGGGCCCATCCACGCTGCTCAGGCCATCCTAGTCGACGCTGGGTGGGACTGTCTGTCTCCCTTCGAGCGGCCCCGCCAACCTCGCGAAGGAGGGCCGGCAGAGCAGACGTGGATCCGACCGCGCAATAAGTGCGCCGACTGGGGCAAGAAGTGCCGCGAAGTCGACCCGTCGCAGTTCGTTTGCGAGTTCCGCCAGACCGTCGGTGGCGGCCCCTGGGGCGATGCCTCCAAGCGCCCCCGCGGTGGCGGCCCGCAGCGTGGCGGGCCCGACGTGCGCGTCAGTGCGCGCGAGATGCAGGGGCTAACCAATGCGGGCTGGTTCGACCAGTGTGTCTGCGACTTCTGCGCGGTTGCGGGAGCTCAGTGGGCGCGACAGAGAGAGAGAGAGAGGGTGTATATATATATATATATGAGAGCGAGAGAGAGAGAGAGAGAGAGAGAGAGAGAGAGGGAGAGGAAACACATATATATATAGGAGAGTGTTGAGAGGAGAGAGACATATAGAGACTAACATATCTATATATAGAAGAGATAGAGAGAGAGAGAGAAAGAGAGAGAGGAGAGAGAGATAGAGAGCGATAGAGAGGAGAGAGAGATTGGAGAAGAGAGTAGAGAGAGAGAGATGATGAGAGGAAATCATATGAGAGAAAGAGGAGAGAGATAGATAGACGAGAGAGAGATGTATATAGATAGAGAGAGAGAGAGAGAGAAGAGAGAGAGAGATGAGCGAGAGAGAGAAAAGAGAGGAGAGAGAGGAGGAGATAGATGTATAAGAGAGAGAAAAGGACTAGAGTAGAGAGAAGTAAGAGAGAGAGAGAGAGAGAGAGATAGAGAGAAGATGAGAGAGAGAGAGAGAGAGAGAGAGAGAAAGAGAGAGAAAGAGAGAGAAAGAGAGAGAAAGAGAGAGAGAGAAAGAGATAGAAAGAGAGAGAAAGAGAGAGAAAGAGAGAGAGAGAGAGAGAGAGAGAGAGAGAGAGAGAGAGAGAGAGAAAGAGAGAGAGGCCCGTCGAGGCCGACTACAAGGCGGACGCGGCGCGCCCGAGATGCAGGGCGGAGCCGACGCCGAGGCGCTTATCATAGGGTCTGGCTGCGCCCCTGCAGCCGCGGTCACGAGGACTGCGTGCATTCCTGCGCCCTCCTCCCCTCTGCCCTTGCCGGGGTAGAAGCATTGCCG